GCCTTAGGTGGCATCTGATGTGGACAGCCACATCATTTGAAAAATTTGCAAAATCTAAGGAAATGGAGGAGAAAGACTCCTCGTATACCACAATCATCATTTAATTAACTAGTTTTTCTTAATTATTAGTTTATTAAACAATGAACTAAATTTAAAAATACGATTAATTCAAATGATGTGTATGTCCACATCAAATGCCATCTAAAATGGTATGAAAATGTGGTATAAAAATATAGTATGAATAGTATTACTGTTTTTTTATTATTTCACGATATAAAGAAGATTGGGCTCATAACCTACAAGATAAAGTTCTCTGTATTTTTAATCCTTGTTTGAGATCCACTTCTATTTAAGGGCTTCTTTGGTATTGTTGTGCTTTCTAAAAAAATTGTTTATGTTGTGCTGTGAGAATAAATAACTGTAAAATAAAGTTGTTATGTGTTTGGTAAACATTTTTTTAGTAAAAGTGCTTTTAATAAAAGTGTTTGATAAACTTTTATATAAATTGCTTTAAATATGTTAAATGACTAAAAATGATTTAGTATTTAATGTGATATAATAATTGTCAAAGACAATATAAGGGCAAAAATTGTAATTTTTAAAATATGTGGGGGTATACTTGCCATTTGAAAAGTTCATTAAATGATGTAACATCTCACATTGCCCAGGGAAGTAAATCCTGTAAACCTTATATGTATATTCTATCTCTACTTAGTATGAGGTTTTTTGAGAGCTCACTGGCTTCGGGTTCTATTAGAACTCCAAAGTTAAGTGAGTTTGCGCGAGGGTAATCCCAGGATGGGTGATCCACTAGGAAGTTCTCGTGTGAGTTTCCAGAAACAAAACTGTGAGGGCGTGGTCGGGGCCCAAAGTGGACAATATCGTGTTACGGCGGAGTCAAGTCCGGGATGTGGTGGACCCTGGGTCAGGATGTGACAATTTGGTATCAGAACCAATACCTGGTCCGAAGTGTGCCGACGACGACGTCGGACCCTTAAGGGGGGTGGATTGTAACATCCTACATCGCCCAGGGGTGTGAATCATGTAAGCCTTATATATATTTTTTCATCTCTACCTAGTACGAGGCCTTTTGGAAGCTCACTGGTTTCGGGTTCCATCGAACTCCCAAGTTAAGCGAGTTCGCGTGAAAGCAATCTCAGGATAGGTGACCCACTAGGAAGTTCTCGTGTGAGTTTCCAGAAAAAAAAAAAAACCATGAGAGTATGGTCGGGGCCCAAAACGGATAATATCATGCTACGGTAAAGTCAAGCCCGAAATGTGGTGGACCCTGAGTTGAGATGTGACAAATGAGTATTGATTACTATGTTAAAAAACAAAAAAAACTTTTTTAGAAGCATGTAAACCCTGCTTCTGCTTTTCTATGCTTTTTTACTTTCATTGATAGCTGTTTTTTTTTAAAAGCATTTTTTTTGTTTTACCAAACACATTTAATGTTCCAAAATTTTTAATAGAGAAGTGTTATTGGCACTCAAAAAATTTCATTCGGCATGTATTTTTCTTTCCAAATATAGAAAATTTGAAGTGTAGAATGTGATTTTTAAAGTGTCAATAATGATTCCATTTTAATAAGCTGCTCTTTCTTTTTTAAAGCATCACAATCCTAAACCAACCTTAAGATGAATTTGTCGTCGAATTCTGTTCAAGTAGAAAAGATGTAGCAAGCTATTAAATAAAATAGGGGCTCACAATACTAGGTATTAGACTGATTATTTTTTTAATTTTTTTATACAAACTCGATATTCTAAATCATTTTAATCCCTGAAAATAAGATATCAAATATGATGAAAAAAAAACAAACACATCCTAATCAATAATTATCAGTTTTTTTTTTTTTTTTTGCAAGTGGCCATTTATTATAGTGATGGAAAGGTATTGAGCCTTTGCATGATGACATGAGCCGTCGCCACCCTGTCAGTGACTAATCTAACAAATCTATCGTTTAACAAAATATAAAAAAGTAATTATCATTTTTTTAATTTAACTTACTAGATGTCTCGCTTTCTAATTTTTTTTTTTAATTTAACAATCAAGAGTAGTTATTAGCTAGATTGTCTCGCTTTCTAAATTTTTTTTCGTAATCTAGGTTCATTGAATTTTTTACTTTAGGTTCACTGTTTGGAAAATTATGATTACAATTACAAAGATTCAATGAACCTAATGTAGACGATTCAATGACTTAAGAACAGATTTGGGGGAGCGAGACAATGACGCTAATAGTAGTGCTAGTTCCTGTTGCAGCGATCGCTGCAGGCTTAAAATAATCGATTGATAAAACAAAATTTCGGGTCTAACTTGGATGGCAAGACATGAAAATATATTCCCGAGTCAAACTATTCAACCCAGTTGAACACACAGAAAAATAATTGAGGACACTTTAATTCAATCAGTTGTATAAAATGTTTGACAATAATCACATGGATAATATACTTAGCTATACTCAGGAATAATCTATCCATGAAATCTTCTGGCTTGTCACCATGAATCCTTAAACTGCTTTGGCTTGAGCAGAGACTGATTGGATGAGGAGATTCTTGCATGTCGCCAGAAATATTTCCACGTGAGTTATCACATATTCATGCGACGAGTGTTATACTCACGAGGAGAATACCTCGGTGTTAACTAAGTCGTTGCAAATCGGACGGTGCTTGCCTAGAGTCACCGTCTTGAGGGACTGAGCTTCGATGATTTTCATAAGGAAGTTGAAGAGCCTCTGGAGAATTCCCAGTGGAAAGGCCTGGTCTTCTCTTGCATCCATTCTTCAAAACCTTCTGTGGAATGAGGGGTTGCTTATTATTCGAGTATTGCAAACCCTATATTTATACACGCGACTGAAACTTGAAGTAGATTGGAGTCAAAGGAAGGTATTGATTACTTTTGAATATTGCTTTGCAGAAATCATATTATATCTGCTCATGTCAGAGAAAGGCTGCCCAAGATACCTTTATTCACACGCTGCATTGACGACACGGTTCAAATCTTTAAGAAACTTTTTATATGTGTCGAGAATATGACTCAGTAAATTTAAATGATAATAGAAACATTTAAAAATATTTTTTCGAGTATCCAATTCTAAACATTTGTATTATGATATTTAATATACGGACCATGCTACCGACACACAAAAAAATCTCTCCTAATCATAGAAGGAACTGATGGTTTGATATTGCTGTACTTTGAAAACAAACTGTTTCTGTTAGTGCTGTGAGAATAAACTCATTTTTGTTGCTTTACGTTTTCAGCTTTTTTACACCCAAAATTGTGAAAATAAGCTATTTTGAAGTGTTTACCAAACACATTTGTAAACTCAACTTTTTTTATACCCATTTTTTATAACAGCACTTCAGTACCAAACTAGTACTAAATTCACTAAGTTGAAGTGATAATAAAACTATTAAAAACTTCTAAAAAGTAATATACTAATTGAAAGCTACTCTAACTTTGATCTCGATGCTAAATCTCAAACACAAGCAGCGTTAGGATTCATAATTAGAATAGTACCAAGGAGATTACAAATTCTTAAAATACTTGTAACGATGGTTTGACCTAATAAACGATATAAAAGTCGCTAAGCTACTGTTATGTTTTATGAATCAAAGATATAGATTTAAATTCACTCATCATGCACTATCGTAAAAAAAGTATCATATGTCACAAATTATAGATGTGTTATTCGTTGTCAAGCAAATAATATTGCTCATCGTTTGGCCCGTGTTTCATTACATATTGGCATAGGGTGCTACTGGTTTGAAGATACACCCTAAGATTTAGTTCTGGTGTAATCTTTGCTGATATGTAACATAGGTATGGTGCTCTTTCTCCTTGGTTTGGAGTTTTTCCCACTAAATATAGACTCGTTTGGATGTGCTCTTAAAATGGTTGAAAGCGATTTTAGAAAAAATATTTTTGGATACCAAAAGCACTTTAAGTGCTTTATGCAGGAAACACCAATTATGTGCTTACTCCAGGAAGCACTTTAAGTGTTTTTTCACGATTTACTTGCATTTTTACTAAGGATTGGTTTCAAAAATATTTCCACAAAAAACATTTTCAATTATTTTAAAAACACATCCAAACAAGCTTTATAACTATGAGTTAATCCTTTTCAATTTAATACGTGCACTCCACCGCTTGGGAAGCAACACCACCACACCCACTTCTTCCTACCCAAACACCCCAAATTTCCAAACATCATGTCTATGTCACTACCTTCAGGGGTTTGCTTTCGGCTACTCACCATCCAACTTTTTAATTCAATCGTTTAATTTCTTGGAATCAACCGTTACTGTTATTTTTTTCCAAACTACTTTCCGGACTACTAAAGAAAGAAAATAGCTACCTCAATCACAAGGTTTTGTTTCATAGATATTTTCCGATGTGGCTTTAGCATTGGGCAGCAGCAGATTCAGAGGAGGGGAAATTTTTAGTTGTAATAGGAACATAAGTGGTACATTATGTGTTTTAACATGGATGGTAGATAATTTTATTTTTTAAGTTATTAATTTTTTAACACACATATCCCACAATTTGTTTAATAATACGTAATATACCATCTCATCTACCGTGAAAAATCTCTCACGAGGAGAGGCACATTCAATATCTACCCAATTATTACGGTCCTTGTGCCAATGGCAGACCAAGTTGTAAATGTATTGGTGGGACATATTCTTTTCTTTACTTCAAAGGTTGAAATCGTAAACCTAAAGTTTCTTGACCCCATACGGAACTCATAAAATTATCGGAAATATGTGTAAATAGAATCGTTTATAACTTTAACAAAAAACAAAATTTATAGACATTAAACAAACAATAAGTTGTATACAAACTACAGTTTCAGTGTTAACTTGCTGTCTATTTAGCATTCATCCAATTATCCGTACTTTTATTTAAGTTTTGTAACTAGTTTTATTTGTTTGTGCATATTTTTCGAGAATATTAGAAGACGAGATGGTAATTACCAAACTTTAAGGGAAACAAAAGGCTATAACACATTCATAATTAACTATCTTAATAGTATATTTGATTAACTGGTCATCCCAAATTAGTCAGATTCTGTGATCTAGTACACACAACAGATGATAATCTGATATAATTCCAGCTGCAAACCATGGTAAAGTTATGAACATCTGGTAGTGGTTGAATTCCCAAATGTGCCCACCTTCCTGCTCAGATCAGAATCTACCTTTAGAATTGATCTTAAAGCTCTTGGCTCATCTCTTCCCAGCTCTAACGAGTTCAACTTCTGAAACGATTTACTCTTTCGTCGTAACTTCATTGCTTCCTCTATGTCCTCCACCCTGTCATTTATGCTGACCATTTTCTTTGGAGCTTCTGCTAGATGCGCAACTGTTGATACTTCTCGTGTTTCATCTTCTCGAGTCATTGGGTGAACCTTTCGGTCTCTTTTGGTCCCGGCTTCATTAGGGTTAGCATCGGAAATGGCCGAAGGGCCTAGTTTCACGGTCTTGAAGCCTTGGTTCATCGTGACGAAGTTGTAGAGCCTTTGGCAAATGCCTAGAAAGTGGAAATGCTCATCTCTTCTGTTCATCTGTTGATTTTGTTTCCCGTAAAAATAACTGCGACGCGTCGAATACGAATGAATGCAAAGTTGCAAACAAAGGAGTAGATAATGTGGAAATTTGAATGAATGGTTTGCTTGTGTGGATACCATTCTTAGGAGGTGTAATTTCGAACTGTGAAGCAAGGTATTCTCGCTTAAACAAAACAAAGTTTCTTGTGAAACTTAATGAAAGAATACTAAAAATGGCATTGCCCTTTCCAATGAAGCAAGACAGAATATCTAGGAAGGCATCGTTTGGAAGAATGGCATGCCTGAGACGTACTGGACTACATTTCTGGTACATTGCCGGTGAAGATACAAACAGCGAAAGGAGAGTTTCCTTAGAATTGCAAAAGAATGAGGTAGAAATAAAAATAATGTTAGAATGCTGTAAGGATCAATCCCGAAGTATTATATCCCTGCGTAATCGGGTTAAAAGTTGAATTCAACAACAAAAAACGTAGCTACTATACAGCTAGTTTGGTAAATTGAGATATGCTCGGTTTACCAAATTGGGTAACAGCTTATATCTCGTCATCAACACGGTAGATTTTATGAAGGATGGCTTGCTTAGATAGAAATCCTCCCACAAAGACGCCAGAAAGCTTAAGGCTGGAAGAGAGATTTTTCAAATACCCAGATATCGCGGACAAGGACCTACAGAGCACGGAAAGCATGTCAATATCACTTGGGGGAAGAGCATAAATGGGAAAGAAACTGAAAGTGAAGAAACTTGAATAACAGAACCCTTAATATTTTGTGTTAATGATAAATATTCTTGTGCACCGGTTTTTTTACTTTTTACCCGGACATGCACTGGTGTTTTCTTTTCAGTCACACTTTACCTCCTTTGTTTTATCTCCAGCAACAACAGCACCGTTCGAGTCATATGCTTCGAATTTCTGCCAGAAAAAGTAAAAAGGAAAAAGAAGTAGCACCTTCAGAAGGTAAAGTTTTGAATTAAAAGCATTAAGTTATAAGACAATGAAAGAAAGCAACATGAAAATTATAAACGAGTCGTGAATCCAGCTGTCCATGTACCTGCTTTGTCAGAAACTCGAGCGTAAGCTGTATGAACACCTTCTCGAGGTCATTTCGATCGACACCAATCTGTGATTACTGATTAGAGAGAGGAAAAGGCACAGATGCAGTAATTGTAAAGAAACATATGACACCAGTGTACTAGAATGTAAGGAAGCATAGCTAAGCTTTTGATTTCAAGGCAATTTATGTGATAGATTCTTATGAATTTCGGTGCTCATGGAAACTGAGGGATGTTAAGTTGTAAACACATACTGAAGATATTTCTACAGATTCTGTTATACATGAAAGCATAAAAATGGAAAAGTTTCTTCAACCAAAGCAGTTAAAAGTTAAAACGAAACGGTCAGCATCAAGAGTTCAGCCAAATAATCTCAACATGAGTAAATCCCATTTTCCGTTATGGTGAAGTGTTTGCGTAGCATAAATCGCAATTTATATTAATCAGACAGACACTTGCCAGTCGTGCTCTCAAAATTCGTATTTTTACAACCAGTTCCATCATTTCCCAGAAAACCTTACTCCATATTGGATCTCTTTGTTTGATCATTCTTGAGTTCCTGCAAACGAGAAGATCATACATAATGACTCAACTTCAATAGCAATTCCTTTACACAAAAAAAAAAAAAAAAAAAAAAAAAAAAAGCAGCATAAAATTTTCTTAAGAGAAACTAAAAAGTACAGAAGCATACCGAAAACATTTTCTCCGTAACTGCTTTCCTTAAAGAATTTTTGTCCCCATTTGCCATTAGAGAGTATTTATCTGGAGAAGAAGGTGAATAGATTAGCTACAGGAAGAAACTCAAAGAATGCAACTGAAAGAAGAAATACAAACTTGAAAGGACGAAAAGACGCTAGATCGTCGTAGATCGTCGTACCCAGTGCACAAGGCTCCCGCTTTACGCAAGGTCTGGAACATAAGAAATATTTATTTCAATTGGAAGTAAATATACCTCCTTGTACTTATGAAAAATCATAAATACACTACTATTATGACGATTTATAAAAATGAAGAACACATAAAACCTAGAGAGATGAAACTTGAAGAAAAAGAGAAAATACCTCCTTGTATAAGTTTATTGCTTCTTTGTAGAATAGATTCTTTGAATACCCCTTTTTTCTTAATTTAGAAATGGCATATGCATTTTTGAGCTGAAAAATGGAAACCAGAAACATCAAACGGAGATGTCAAATATTAGGCCTCAACTGACTGAAATATAAAAAAAGGTCGTACCCAGTGCACAAGGCTCCTGCTTTACGCAGGGTCTGGGAGAGGTGAATGTCGGCTAGCCTTACCCCCATTTATGGAGAGGCTGCTCCCAACTCAACTGACTGAAATATAAATAATCAAATTCGATCTGCAATCTATACTTATTATGAGTTGCATTCCAAAACCAAAACATAAAAAAGGAGTGGGTCGGAATCTAGAATGAAATTTGGGGGAATGAAGGACAGTTGTGAAAGAATAGAAGAAAGAAGCTTCAATCGGAATTAACTAAAAGCTTGAATCGCTAAAACAAGAGATCCTTAGTACTTCACCTCTATTATTGTGTCTTCTTTTGTTCTTTTGCACCCGCTTCTTGTGAACCATCTGATACATAAAACATCAGAATGTTCATATGTAAGAACAGGAGATTAAGAACAAAAATATAAGTAGCCAAGTCCAACATTTACTAGTGGAACTAAAGCTATGAGAGTTTAATGAGAAACTTAATCATAGCATAACCAATTCTTAATCATAGTATGTCTCTCATAGCTAATTTCTATAATTGCTAAAGAAAACAAAGATTATACTACCGACCCAGTGAAAAGTGAGACCTGCCTAAAATTTGTAGTGATCGTCATAGAGTTCCATGCTGGTGACTGGTCTAATCTAACTACTAACAATCTACGAGAACAATAAAATTCACCTTTGAAATAACTAACCTCTTGAAAAATGAGATTTTTTCATGAGGTGTATAAGGCTCATAGATAAACCCTGAACTCAACATGGCTACTCTAAGAGCACCCTGCAAATATCATAAGGTAAACACGCACGGTATTATTATCCGTGATGTAAACAAGCAGACTAAGAAAATTAGAAGTTCATTGGTTCTCTTTATCAAGAGCCCAAGATTACACATACAACTCTAACCTTAAAAAATGGATACTTGTTTCAGTAAAGAACTAAGGGAATATATTAAGAAGAAGTGAACCGCCTGAGCACCATCCACATAAACTTAGTCGGAAGAGTTACAAAACAAACAGTTGAGCAAAAAGATAACATACCATTTGTCTTGCTTGTGCAGGCGCTTTTACTTGTGTTGATAGTGATCTTGTGTCACTCAAGAAGAGCGGCAACTCAACCGCCTGAATGAAAGACAACGAAACAATAAAAAAGCGACGGTCATAATCAAGATTAGCATTGGCATCCAACCGATTCGCGTTATGATGAAGAAACAATCGAAAGGGATGCTCATAATCCAAATTTAGCATTGGTATCAAACCGATTCAAGTTATGAAGAAACAATTGAGAGGGATGTTCTTTATCCAAAATTAGCATTGGCATCCAACCAATTCGAGTTACAAGTTTGAGCAACTCAACAGCCGAAATGAAAAGTAAAGGAACAATCAAAGGGGATGCTCATAATCCAAATTTAGCATTGGCATCAAACCGATTCAAGTTACAATTGTTCGAGACTTACCATTGCAGAACGCAATGTCATGGAACTTCCGTGACTCCAAGGAAGGCTCCCATGGCTGCCCTCGTAAAAGCAAGACGATACAGTCCGGCTATAAGATTCCGGGACTGATAAAAAATAATAAAATTTCCAAAAAAAAAAATTGTGTGCCAACCCAATAAATCGGTTACAAATTACTTCATCACTTGCAGAAAATTCAAAATTACCATTTGAAATACCAGTTGCATAGTTTCTTGAGCTTCCAAGCCTGAAAATTCAAAGAAGATGCAATCTTTGAAATACCCATTTCAATTAATCATCAGAAGCATTTTCCTTTCCAATCCAAAGCTTTGGAAAAATTGAAAATTTTCAAATTCTCAGCAACCAATCAGCGCATTAACCAATCATTTCTACTCACAGATGGGAGGATTCTGCAATCTGGGCCGTACGATAGAGAGCTCGAATCTGGTGTAAGCTTCTGAAAGCCATCGTTAATCACAAATCTTCGAGGACCCCAAATTGATCTTCTGTCAGTAACATGGAGTGATCAATAACAGAGAGAGAGGTCTTGTTTGTTGGAAGACTAGCAGTGGAAAAGGGTTTAAGGAGGATCTTTACGGTGCTTCGCAGTTATACATTTGGACCTCCATGCATCTTTTTTTTTTTTTTTTTTTAAGGAAACTAATGGAAAAAAAGATGAAAACCTTGAGTTTTAACAATAAAGATAAAATAAAGGGTAAAATAAATAGTACTAAAATTAAATTTTTAATGTAAAAATATGATTTTTCATTATCAGGAACTTTTTGTTAAAGTTCTTTTTTTTTTACTTTTTATTCCAAATGGTCTAAGAATTGATCACACTCATTATTTTGTTGGGAGTTTTAACGAAAAGCTCGCTGTACTGTTCATTTTAACGAAAAACCACATTTTTATACTAAAAAGTCAAACTTGGTACTATTCACTTTACCCTTTATTTTGTCCTTATCGTTAAAATTCAAAGTTTTCAAGTCATTTTCATTAATTTTCCTTATTTTGTTCCCTTAATTTAAAATTTGATAATTTTCATTTCTGAAGTTTACTACTTGACTTCAATTTAGTCTTTGTAATCTAAATTCGTCAAATTATTTGTTAATTTGCTGACGCGGCACACATGGAGTCCACATAACCAATTATATGGTGCTACGTGAATATAAAAAAATCACTTTCTAAAAAATTAAATCCCGATTTCCCTCCGAGCCGTCTGAGCTCCTTCACACTTGTAGCGGAATCCACCCATTCTTATGCTCATGAGGTTCATTGGTGGTGTGGACTCTATGTGTGCCGTGTTAGCAAATTAACATAAAATTTGACGGATTTGGATGATAAGGACTAAATTAACATGAGGAAGTGAGCTTTAGAGACGAAATTAATCGATTTTCAAATTGAGACCAAAATAATAAATTTGGTAAATTTCAAAGACTGCTTGTGATTAAAAAACACATTTTATATACAACAAAATTCTAATTTGATTTAATTTAGTATGCCTGAATTTGAATTTTTGGCAGTAAATTGGAATTAGGGATTTCCAGTTTCAATTACAAAAAGTGTCAAAATTCCAACATTCATTCCGATTGGGAATGTAAAATGCATGTATTTACGATAATACAAATTGAAAACTTTCTAATCAAATTGTATCTTCCCATAACCTACTACTAGCAGCATAATAATAAAAGCAGCAAGAAAATAGTATGCTACTTCTATGTGTTTTGATCTTTTGCTCGCGAAGTTGATCGGATAAACGGAACTCTTGTTCGAATAAAACAGACCCCAATGTCGCTCCACTGCGTCGCCGGACGAGCTTCCCGGCCGCCTTGGAATTCCACTGGACGACAGCACGTGCTTTATTAAGTTCGAGCTGTGTTTGCGCGTTGCTGGGTGTTGTCACGTTTCCATTCCCGTCGGAGGGCCAACCTGTCTCGGACACGAGGCGCCCCGGCTTTCTCCAGTGATGCTTGTAGTCCATCCACCATGGCATCAAACAGGTTGTAGCAACTTGGACCACCATCGGTGACAACAACACAAACCAGAATCTCGGAGATAAAGAGAAACTAGATTTGTAAGATTGAAAGCCCACCTAGGCATCAAAGTCTGGTTAAAGGAAAGATAAAGGATGGAAAGTGAAGTAAAATTGATGATGGTTGGAGGGGGAACGGGAGTGTTGGAAAATATTAGTATTTAGTTTATTTAAATGTTTGGTTTTCTGGACTTAGCCCGTTAGTATTAGAGTTTTGATTTCTTACCTTTTAGGATTATGGTTAGTTTATTATAAATATGATGCTTGTTATTCATTTGAGAACAAGCTATTCATAATGTAGTCTTTTAGGGTTTTGTATCCGTTTTAGCATGCTCGTTTGTTTAATAATATTCTTATTATTCTTGTTAGTCTTATTCGTTGCGCACTCTGATATTCAATTGAAGCAAGTATACAAGCCTCTATACGTAACTCTAACAAAGATGGGAGCATGTTTATCTCGTTCAACCAATTAGCTGGTTTGCTAAGATTAGTAAACTCATGTCTTGGTTTTGCAAGTGGGAAATACCGGAATCCCGTTCGAGATCCTCAGCCTTTAAGCATGCAATCGCTGAGACCAAGAACACGTAGGTTTGAGAGATTTTCCAGTTGAGGAGGAATCATTCCTTGAAACCCTGCCTGTGAGAGGTTATGATATCTTAAAGATTTAAGAGTACCAAAGAAGCTAGGTATCTGATTTCCTTGAAAGTTGTTGCAACTTAAGTCCAAGTAGTTGAGATGCTTCAAATAGAGCAAAGAAGGATTTATCTTACCTCCCAACCAAGTAAGTCCCTTGTAGTTAAGAATAAAAAGGAAAGGCACGGAAACGTAGGGATTGGGATTATTGAGGTGGAGCTCACGAACGTGACCGGTGAAGCTGTCACAGACAACTCTAGACAATTGCACAGTCTCCTTCACTAGTCTATGATGGGAGCCGATTTGAAGGATCCTTAAGGTCTTGCTTGAACATCAGAAGCACTCGTTTCTGACCTTTGCGTAAACCGAAACTGAAAGATGGAGTGGACGTTATTGCAATGGTTCGAACTGATAAAAACAAGTAAAACAACTCTCACGGGGATCTCCATAAAGTTGACTTTATATCAGTGAATTCTGAGTAATTCTTCGGATGAGAGCAAGAATCGAATATGGGATCTTTATTCTTGTTATATATTGAACTCGCCATACCTATAGGGTGTCGAACTTTAAACCTTCTACTTACAAATGGAGGTACTACCGTATTGTACTACTAGCGTTCGCATGTATATAATTCTCAGCTTGTAAAATTCTTTTCCTAGTGCGGTAATCCTACTTCCTTATGCATTTCTTATACATATGTTAACGTTATTGCACAAGTAAATATAGACAAAATCGACAGTGACATAGCCGGAAATCATATTTATTAGAGGGCCCTCTTAGACCATGGAAGAAAGGATGTTCTAACTACAGCATAGCTGCACACTATCACTTTACAAAACAAGAACAACCCGCTTCCTAATACATTTAATTGTCCATAAAAAAACAATGAAATAAAATTTTAATTTTACATTTATCTTTAACTGTTGATCTCAAGAAGTATGTTCAGTATGTTCTGCAGCTTGATCTTCTACTGCACCACTTGGTGAACCAGGAACAAATGGAACGAAACCCCGTCCCCCAAAAACCGGTCTCATGAACTTGTCATCAAACTTTCTCCACAAGTAGTGAGCAGTTGTAGAAGCTGGATGTGTCATTAACAACCTTAAGCTGCTTGGTTTTCGGATTGGCTCACCGTTGCCTCTCTCACTTGGCTCACCGTTGCCTCCCTCGCTTGGCTCGCCGGCTTCCAGGAAAAGTACCCTCAAGTCTTCTAGACTTGGCATATCAGTCGCATCTGAAATGTTTGCTTTTGCATGTGGCTGTATCAGAGCTGAGATTAATGGCTTTGTGATGGAGCCAAATACCTGTTTGGATAGAAGGAAAAGGATTCAAAAGACCGATTTTAGTAATGTGACAAGTTCGTTAACCAAGTACAAAATGGCCATGTTTCTTTTGTGCTTCAGAGCTCTAAGTGCAAACAGTGGTAATCTACTAGTCCGGGAACCCAAGCTACCACCCTGAGATAGTAATGTACTAGTCCGATGATGCGAAAAGTTTGTTCGCACTTAGTACTCTGAAGCCCTCAAGAAAAATCGAGAAAATGGACCTTACTGCATTGAGCCCTTCTACTATACATCAATGTATATCATACATTGCCTTTTCAATGGCTCAGATTCACTCGTTAAATTTCATGGATGTATTCTAGAGTTTCGGTACTGCAACATATATAAGTTATAGAGACAAAGCAGGCATACCACTGTGCTGAAGAGAACAACAATGATGGTACTGGTAATCATCAAAGAACTATCTTGCGTTGATGTTGATTCGGTGGTGTCTGCAAACTGCATTATCAAATTGTGCTAGTTAGTACTTCTGCAGAACTGAAAATATTGATCTCTTAGGTTTCGAAACACCGTCAACTTACTTGGTTGTATGACAAAGCAATGGTGACTGCACCCCTCATTAGGCCTGCCCACCACATTATAAACTGGTTTTTGAACTCGATTTTCGTACCCTCTCTTTTCTGAAAACAGTTTTTGATGTTTGCAATCGGGAAGACAAATGCTGCCCTTCCGACTAATACGAGTCCAAACAGCATTGAACTGACACCAACAGAAGTCCCTGGACTGAACGAAAGAGTATGTTATAAGTCAGGCATAACATGTTTCAACATTATAACTTCAGAGTCGGGGAAAATATACAATTTCTTCGAACTTGTTTTTCGTGTTACTATGAAGTATTAACGAAGATAATATTAAGATTACTTAGATTAGTGAAATAATTACCTTGCATTGCTGGCTTTCCATTTGTCAATGTCCAAGGCATCCATGCCAACATAAAGGAATATAAAGGTTTCTGCAATGAATGACAATGTTGCAAATGCATGCCTGAAACAAACCATCAAACAATACGGATTAAAGATTCATATTTCGCATTTCCTTTCATTCTCGTTTGACTAGTAACTCAACCGGTGGATCATCTACAAAAAGGATTACAATAGTGTCAAAAATTAGAAAGGAAGAGAGAAATATGTTCTTACTTGGTTGTTACCCTTGAGCTTTCTGTAACGTTGTGCCATGTATAATGTGACATAACTATGCCGCAGAAAAACACCGTCAAAATTCCACTGAGACTCAGAAGCTGCAAAAGAAAGGCGATTTTAGATATCTTTTGCTCTTATCTCGCTAATTTCCATTCTAAAATCAGTTCATCTGATCCGTTGCGATGATGTTATTTTGTGGTAGATACGATGCAAAGTTCATAAAATTAGTCAAAACCAGATTTCTGATTTGCTCGGTCTGCATTTGCTAGATATTTTTCGTGGGATCGCCGCTAAATACATAGATGATTGATTACCATAAATGAAATAACAAGATAAAATGATTACAAGATACCGAAAAGAACCAAAGAAATACTCATTAAAAATCAAAATCAATTCCTAGTCCTCTGAGGTTGACATCAAGGTAATGTAACAACCAGTACTTAATAATATGAG